GGCTCCCCAGGGGGGGGGGGGGGACGGAATTAAATTCACATCCTCCAGAAACGAGATTCAATGTTCTTCACAACCCTGGGGAGGTGGAGCTTCAAATTTGCTGGAACGATTCTGTGGTGAGAGAGGTTGAAGTATACCAAATTTCGTTCTTGTTGATGCTTTCAGAGAGGAATACAAGGGGGTGGAATTTAAAGGAATTTATAGGAGAATAGGGAATTTATAGGAGGTGGAGTCTATTGATGGTGTACCGATGACGGGAATAACGAAAATGACAGCCTCGTAGGCCTCGCGGTGTTGGGGTGACAGCCACCACCATCACAGCATTTGGTCTCTTCGAATTAAAGTATTAGACTAGCGGCCTGCGGCCGCTACGCTGGCCGTCAAATCGGTGGAAATTTGAATCGTCTATTGTGAGCATAACGTCTCCTTGACAATCCTCTGTTCATCGCATTACCCATTCGGAACTNGTGAGCATAACGTCTCCTTGACAATCCTCTGTTCATCGCATTACCCATTCGGAACTGAACCGCTTCATTACATTTATACACATGCAGCTTACAGTACACACGGAAATTCTGTTCCTAAACACCATCATCATGATATTTCAGCTGATTGCTACAATCGCCATTGTAAACGCCTCGGTTTAACACGTTTTCATGAGACTTAAGACGACTTTGCTGATTTCGTCTTCCTAGCACATTCAATACTCTTGCATCACCAATTATCTCATGGGCTATTAACGTTAGCGTATGGTACGGACACCAATGATTCTGAAACAGTACGGACCATTTCCAAGAACTTCTTCGACGCCACAGGGGGAAGTTAGTGCATGTGCGGCACAATGCTATCGACTAATTCCTGAAAATGTCTCGCCGCCACATTAGCACCAGTGAGCAACACTTTCAGAGCCTCAGGGTAAAGTGTGAGTTGCAGCAGGAGCACTTTTCCGTTGTGGCAGCAATGTTAAACGAATGCCCCCTCCCTACAGCAAAATGTACAGCCTGACAGTGCTCGCTGCGGCAAACGATTGTAATTATTGAGATGACATGGAGAAGGTATGATAAAATGTCAGGAGTTCCTTGGTGTAATGGTAGCACAACTGACCCGCAATCAGGAGGTAGGGGTTCAATTCCCTGCTTTCCCGCTTTCGACACAGTGCTGCATTCCTTGCTTCAAGTTGCTCAGCAGGCTGCATGGCTCTCCTAGAGCTCTCTCCGGAGCTCAGCATTCGCTGCCTCTTGCTGTTCAGCGGTCTGAGCGGCCTACGCTCCCGACGTACATTTGCTTGCTGTTCATCACTGATTCTAGCCATTACGGCTAGCACCGATTTAGGCACTTCGCACCGCAACTGCAGTGGCAAACGTTGTTTCCGCGCCTGTACCAACCGTTTTTTACCAGCAACAACTGCCTCATCGCCATGGTGTGGAACCTCNGATTTAGGCACTTCGCACCGCAACTGCAGTGGCAAACGTTGTTTCCGCGCCTGTACCAACCGTTTTTTACCAGCAACAACTGCCTCATCGCCATGGTGTGGAACCTCCTTCAACATTTCTTCTTCGCGTTCAACCTCACCTTGCAAAAATCGCCACCATTTTCATGGTAGGTGCCTCTCGTTTGCGCCACACATAAAGCAGACTTTTTAGACCATTATTTTGATTTCATCAATCGTGAGAGATCAAATAAATCGGCCATGACATGAAACGCAAATAGAAAACTTTTGCATGGAAGCAATGGCCCGAACCGCCACGCATTACATAACGAAACAAAATAGATACAGAAAAAATACTTAAGCAAAGAATGAATTCAAATGGAGAACTTGCAGTCGATCAGTGAAAACGTGACACGCAATTATTTATTACCACCCTTTGACACGGCTAAGTATGAAGCCAATGGCTCAGACTGATATAGCTCGATGGACCTGGCGCTAAAAGCGTTGGATGGCCAAGTCAATGGCCTAGAATAGTATTGCCTCAAGGACCTGGTGCTTTGAGGGATGGATGGTCTAGCCTATGGCCTGAAGTGACAGTTTCGTAGGCCTCGCGCGCTGGGGTGACAACCACCACCACTACTAAATCTCTCGGGCTTTTCGAATAAAATTATAAGAAGGCATGGAATGGCGTAGCCTTGTAAGCCTGGAGCTTCAGGCCGTGGATGGCTTGGCCTATGACCCAGAATGGCATTGCATTGTAGGCCCGCGCGTTGGGGGTGATAGCTACAACCATGACCACCACCACTTTTGACCTCTTCGAATTAAAGTATTAGATTTGATTACATAGATGACATTGCCCAGTAGCACAAAAACGCTTTCGAGGACGTTCAAAATGTTATCAAAGAGGTCTTTGGACATACGGGGTACCGGAATGAGCACATTTTTGGCGCTCAGTAACCTTAGATAATATTTCACTTTCATGAAATCCACCTGACCAAAAAAACGAGATGAAACACATCTGTTTCCAACGAGAGCAAAGAACCGACGGAAGGTAAGCTTACATTTTACCTTGACGGCTTTAAAGCCTATAGGGCCTCACGCGATGTTTTTTCCGCACACCTTATCTTACGGTGTGAACTATTAGCCATCACCCTTACGAAGCTCAATGAGGGTTTCGTCCTTCGAGGAGAGAAGGAGTGGCCAAGAGATAGTCTCATGAAATATGCATCGGCTCGGAGAGAATCGGGAAGAGATTCCAGTCTGTCCTGACGAGTCACTCCCTCGGGGTGCGAGCGACGATGGAGGCTTTCCCCTTCCTCCGAGCACCCTTTCTCTCGGTTCTCCATTTCCCACTTTCCGCGCTCTTGTTCTCGGGTGAGTCCCATTCATGAGACCTACCTCGATTCATCGTTATCCTTGCTCGGCAGCTTCTCCCATCGTCTCGTTGAAGCGAGTCGAGGAAACAGCGTTTCCGTCTAATATGTGGAAACAATGACTAACATTTTTTTGGGCATTATTATTGTCAGGGGAAGCAATCAGAAAACTAAAAGCATGGAATCCCCGCAGAGGTGATTGATCCATGGATTGACCATGGATTGAATAACTTTTCAGCCACTAGGTGACTCTGGGTGATTTCATGTCAGCCCGCACACTTTTTCTTTCTCGACCCCCTCCAATTTCTATGAAATTTGCCTGGTATTTGTACCTATTGAGAAAAGAAACCGCAGCGAATTTCAGCTCCATACATTATCTAATATATATAGATGATCGTGACTGACTGACTGACGCTAATTCTAATCATGTTCTAGAGAAATTAGAAATCAGAAACTTGGTACATATGTACCTTTTGGAATGCAGAGTTCAGAAAAAATCACACTTTGGAGGTACATCTCCTGGGGGTACAAATTTTGGGGGGAAACGTTTTTCTTGAATATAATTTGTGACAGATGAGGATGCCATTCAGAGAGACAAATGTATGTGCTGGGTTCGGTGGTGTTGTAGGAACATATCTGACTAGCAATCATAAGGTCTGGGTTCAAATCCGGCATTTCCTTGGCTTTATTTGCATTCCATGTCCCGTTACTCATTCCCCCTCCATAACATTATTTTTGCTTGAGTAAAACGGAGAGACATTGAAGGCTTAAACTTTGTCATGGACGTGCCTCACGAGACGATGAATTCAGGAAAAATAAAAAATTTTAGATCCATGCCCTGGGGGCACATTTTTGTGAGGTGACGTTTTCAAGTATTTTTTTTCCTGGTGTATTGAGCTAGTGTGGAAAGCTGAAACTTGGTACATAACTACCTATTCAGATGCTGCAGAAAACTTCAGAATTTGGAAGGAAATGCCCTGGGGGCACATATTTCAAAGGGAGATGTTTTCACCTCATTCTTTTGCATCAGTTAAACTGTTGAACATGGAAAACTGGAACATTGCATGAATGTGACTACTGAGACAAGGAGTTAAGTAAAAATGGTAAGTCTCGATACATCCCCAGGGGGAATTTTTTCGAAGTGCAATGTTTTGAAAATAAAAATTGTCATGGCGAATTGGACGGAAATGGAAAGGTGAAACTTGGCGCACGTATTAGTCACATGATATTACTGAGCTGAGAGAGTATTCATCTTTCTTAGTACATCCCCTCAGGGCATAGCGTTATGGTGCGTCGGATTTTCCAAACATGTTTTTTCACCAGCGAAAAGGGCAAACGTATAATATTGAAACTTTGTGGGCATGTNAAGGGCAAACGTATAATATTGAAACTTTGTGGGCATGTAGGTAGCTGGGCAGACATAGAAAAGTAGCTGGCGCATGCATCACTGACGTGATGTTGATTTAAGGAAAAATTAAAGTTTAAACATTCATGCGCCCCTTGTTTTGCTGGATCATAAAATTTCGGGAAATTACCCTTTATGGAAATTATGTACCCTGAGCTGTTTCATCCGGAAAGTACCTTCTTTTTTTTTCTTACCAACATCCATCCTCAGTGAACTACATGCCCACAAAGATTCAATATCATACGTTTGCCCTTTCGCTGATGAAAAAACACGTTTGGAAAACCCGACCCACCCACAAGCCATGCCTGGAGGGGATGCAACATGAAAGCTGAATACTCCCTCAGCCCAATAATATCATGTCACTTATACGTGTGCCAAGTTTCACCTTTTCATTTTTGTCCCATTCGTCACGTCATTTTTTTCATGGAAACATCGCCCTTCAAAAAAAATTCCCTCAAGGGAAGTATCGAGGCTTAACATTTTTACTTAACTCCTTGTCCCAGTAGTCACATTCGTGCAACGTTTCAGCTGTTCACGTTCATCAGTTTAACTGATGCAAAAAAATTAGTTGAAAACATCTTCCTTTGAAATTTGACCCCAGGGCATTTACTTCCAAAGTCTGAATTTTTCTGAAGCATCCCAATAGGTAGTTATGTACCAAGTTTCATTTTTCCACACTAGCTCAATACGCCATGAAAAAGAAAGTACTTGAAAACGTCACCTCACAAAATAATGCCCCCAGGGCATGGATCTAAATTTTTTCATTTTTCCTGAATTTATCGTCTCCCTAAGCACGTCCTTGCCAAGTTTAAGCTTTCCTGGTCTCTCCGTTTTACTCAAGGAAAAATAATGTTATGGTGGGAGAATGAGTAACGGGACATGGAAGGCAAATAAAACCCAAAAGAAAACCAAGATATAGCCAGGAATTAAACCCGGACCTTCTGATTGCCAGTCAGAGATGCTACTACTACACCACCGAACCAAGCACATCCAGTTAACTCTCTGAATGCCTTCTTCATGTGTCACAAAATATATTGAAGAAAAACGTTTCCCCCAAAATTTGTACCCCCTGGGCATGTACCTCCAAAGTGGGATTTTTTCTGAACTCCGCATCCCAGAAGGTAAATGTGTACCAAGTTTCAGATTTCTAACCCTTCAAGAACATGGTTAGACTTAGCGTCAGTCAATCAGTCACAATCGTCTATATATCAGGTTGTAATGGTGAAATTTAGACATTTTCCAGAAAACAATTTATTGACAATTAACTCAGCAACGACTAGAGGGCAGTCTTGCATCAATGTATCTGTTGTAGGTTCACGATAAGCACTCACGCCAACAATGCCCACTGGTCACTCTACTTATACACCTACACAGAAAGTTCTAACANGAAAATTTAAACTTCCCTCAGAAGTACTTGTTTGATGGCTGAGTAGAGGAAAAATCCTAATTTTGAAATATGTCACCTTAGCGTAATTTTTGGAGGGAAGTTTTTCAAAATGTATTCACCACCCTTACAAAAGGGATATAAGAAAAGATTTCTTGTTGGGCGCACATAGAATCATAGAGGTAATGATTTTGATAAAAATCTAGACTTTCGACCCCATATATCACATATTTCAATGGGGACGTACTTTAAATACGTGTTTCCCATTTCGAAAAAAATGAATAAATTAATCACTCTTCAAGGTAGTAGAGCGCCGAAGGCGCGACTAAAGCGAGTTTGTTTGTAACGATAAATACGTGAATATTTACGTGCTATTAAAGATAAATACGTGAATTTGGTATCGTTGATAGGATATTAAATTCCCTATCGGGTGAAATGTAACATACGGTGATGAAAGCGATGACCTTGGCATTTGTGTTTTGTAATGAAGTAGAAATTATACTTGACCTGGACATAAGTTCCCACACTCGATTTCGCTAATGTTCTAGGAGACATTGAGCCATGACTTCATTTATGTACACTGCAAATTTCATTTTTGTGTTTTGATTATCAACAGAGATATGAGTATTTCAGTGCATGCCCTTCAGAACTTGTACCGATATTACGCAGCATCAGAGCCATGGGCTTGTAGCTGCGCCTCACTTATCTCCTCTTATCTGCCCTAATCGTTTCGAAGTCGTGTTACGTCAGTTCACATAACTTGTACCATGCATGTCTTAAGCCTTCAAAACTTTGACTTCATTCACGTTTTCTGTCCAGGAATGTATTTTGAGGAGTGGGTACTTGGTCCCGTCGGACGCCAGTTACTTGCTACTACTACTGCCACGTTAAAACGCTCTCGAGGCATACATGCGTGAGCAGGTAATTCTTCCCTCAGGGAGAAGACGAAGTTAATGACAGCAGTATCGTCCGTTGCCCAAGTATTCAGCTGGAAAGGGGAAAGTCATCTCATCACTTCTCGGTCTCTGCAGAATCGCCTTTGTGGCAAGTCGCTTTAATGTTCTTCCTAATCCGTCGCATGGGCCCTTGCCATGGGAAGTTGCAAAAACAATGCCATTCGCTGACATAACATAGTCTTCTTGGTGCCAAGTAATGTTTACAATATTCTTCGATTTTCGCACTGCGGGCTGCGCCGCACAGTACGAAAATAATTCACAAGGAATGCTTGCAAAATTATTTCTGTTTTACAACTCGGAATGAAATCATGCCTCTTGCCATGATATCATTGCGAAGGAACAATGGATATTTCTCAAGAACTTGAAGGTATCGTTTAAGGGAAAAGAAGTTCTGATCATGTGTAACGTGTTTGTTGTGATTTAGGACACAACCTAGGGTTACCACTGGATTATCGACTAGGCCACAATCTACCCGTCAGTGGCATTCTTCGTGAACGACGGGACTTTGGAACATTTAAGCTTTTGGCATATTTTCAGATTCATTCTCAGTCCATTTATTCAGGAAATCACTCATGGCATGCACCAAAACGAAATTCACCTGAGAAAGTTGAATTATTTTTCCGACGGCTGCGTCGCGCAGTATGAAATTCGGAAGAATTTTGTATACATTTCATGGCACCAAGAAGACTATGGAATGGCAAATACGCTTCGAGAGCGTTTTAACGTGGTAGTACTAGCAGCATTTACCTATTAGCGTCCGACAGACCAAGTACCTACTTCTGAAAGTACATTCCTGGACAAAAAACGGGAAAAAAGTTAAAGCTCTGAAGGCGTAAGACATGGTACATGCTATGTGAACTGACGTACTGCTATTTCAAAACTGTTATAGCAGATACCCGGCGATAAGTGAGGCGCAGCTACGAGCCCATGGCTGTGATGGTAACACCAGTCTTGAGTGAAAAAGATTGCAAGGATATAACACATGAAGGAATCGAGCCACGTACTTCTTCCAGTTGGCGTCGAGGGCGGATGCAGACATGTTGTGGACATAGAACACGGACACTTCAGGATAAAATCTTGCCCAGGTATCGGCGAGAGGTAAGGAACCTAGCCACCAGACGCAACGGGGGAAACTTGGAAGCGAGAACTTCAGTTCAGTTCAATTGTCACATCCGGCGTTTCTCAGAGCCCATGATGGTCACTCCAGGGAGCGACTATGGCGTTTCGTCCCTCCCTGAAACAAACTCTCTCTAGGTCTATTCCTGAAGGAACTCCTACACTAACTTGTTCAGTGACTCTTAGTTCCGTTGAACAATTTTCTTGGAGCTTTTTTATCACCGAAACAGGACTTTTTCATACCCAATATCTGAGAGCAGTCAGGTTTTATTCTCGTACTTCCTCTCACTATCGAAATCTTACAGGGGCGCAGGTTTACCCTTTGATTTGTGTGGGCTGGCAAAAAAACGCTCTCTTGTTCCTAAACGCGTGCGCCCATACATATGATCCTTATATCTATTTTATCTCCTCATTGATCTGCTTTTAATGATGGTACTTATAAGTAATGCACCCAGTACTAACTAGTATACATGATCTATGTGTTTCGAAAACGGCAAGATCAATTAAAAAATCCTAGGGTTATGCTACGGAGAATGTTACTACTGTTACGGATTTGCAAGCGGATGTTCAAAAATTGGCACATTTTCATGCTTGACGGGCCAAAAGTTTGTGTCGTAGAGGTCCATGATAATGGTTTATTTGCACCTCCAAGAAAAAGATGGTAGACCTACCCACGCACGCGAGAATGGGGCAACGTGAAGAGAGCTCCACCCTCCTCTACCCTCATCGGCTAGCTTCCCAGAATTTCTTTAACCTAAGGGGACGTTCCCCTAAGACAGGTTCAGAGGCCTCCATTCAACCCCCTTCCCCCATAAAAACATGTTGGGGAAGTCCAGTCCAGTAGTGGGCCTCCTTTCATTTAAGATAACCCGCATTTTGCCACTTAATTGAACAAAATACCATCTCGTTCCGGTCTTCGACCATCCAAAACCTCATTTCTCATTTATATTTGGTAAACATAGACGGTGCCTATGAAACGGTGGTGGGAGGATGGAGGGATGTGCGTGGTTGGATCCATCCGCCCCGAAGGTTGGTAGGGGCCGACAGCTCTAGTTGTTGACGCGGGGCAGCTTCCAAAGCCTAGGTCGCATGAGCATGCGCGTTGTGGTCCAGAACCTGAAGGGCTCACTAGTATAAAGTACTCAGGATGAAATCATATGCATCCAAGGGTTTCCTTTCCCCTTTACCGCTCCGTTGGGATTCTTGATTACTCCTTCCAGTCATCTCTGTGAATCCATTTTGACCATCACAAGCGATGAAGTTGATTCGATTTTGGTATATGGTGCGCCACGTTACATTCGTACTCGGACTCAAGAAGGAAAATAAAAAAACTGATGCTGGTTAGTAGCAATCAGCCTCCAGGACTATTTCAACGTTAATGAAAAGAAGAAAACAACCTGGTTGCAATGCATAGGTTCCATCCAATATGTAGGATGAAAATGCAATCAATTTATTGAGCCGGAATTCCGAATTGATTGAGAACGCTGTCATTTCTACAGGGTGACAATTCTCAATGTTACGCTTTTTAATGGCTTGCCATGTACACAATTTTCAACATAGAGCGTTAAGCGACGCGTTTCCAGAAAGCTTGTCTAGTGCAGTTTTCTTTCGTTGCAGGTTTGTTAACATGAGGGATCAATATTCGCTAGAGCAAAAGGGTGTGGATAATGACTAAATTCATGGAGACAAGGTCAAACTATGGAAATGCTGAAATCAAAACGGAGGGCATCTTGAACACATTTTAGCATAACCTCAGTATAATTGGTCAAATTTCTTTGATATCAAAAAACTGCAGAGCTTTAGCCTAAAATTGAACTATTATTCATTAAAAGCAGCAGTGAATAATAAAATGAGAGCTCATGAAAATCAGTAGCAATGAAAATTGTCACCCTGTACAAGGGTATGGCCCTTCTCGAGGGGGTGTGCATGGATTGAAAGGGAAAGGATGGAGGGGAGGGCTTCCTTCACCTCACGCTCCTCCCCCTCGCACTCCCACAGAACCCAAGAGCCAGCGAGCTTGAGGGGCACTCTCCGACATCTCTGAAACGCCAAGGTCCTAGGTCTTTTTCCAGGGAGGGAACTGTGCCGTCTTGAATGAAATGAGCACCACGGCTTCTTCACATGACAGGGAAACCATAGCGAGGTGAAGTGAATCACTTGAGAACACGTGAAAGAGCAGATACCTTGAGCCAAAGCGTTCGAGTCAAGTTGCACATCCCCGAAGCATTCGAGTGTCGTCGGTTTCCCTCAGAATCGAGTGATATTTTCCAGCTTTGCAGAATTCATGAACGATCATTGATAATATCTTCCAGGATAAATTATAGCAGTCCATCTGCAACGACTTACGAGAACAACACAGACTGCATTCAAGACGGTGAGTATGTGACTGGAAGCATCGTGGAATACGCGTGTAGCGAGCATTATAATCTCAAGGGATCACGGCGTCGGATATGCATTGGGAATGGACGATGGAGCCGAGGAAATGCACTTTGTGAGCCGGGTCAGTTTCCATTCCGTGCAATTTTTCGCTATCCGTCACCTTTCGAAATATAAAGCAGATCTATCTCGGAGATAGAATGTGGGAGAAAAGTGCCACAGGGTTTGTCAGCAGGAGGAAAGCCATCCGCGATTGGGAAGTGGCCATGGGTGGCTGCCATATATGACGTCAAAAATGAGCTTCTCGTTTGCGGAGGGGCTCTGATTCGAGAGCAATGGGTTCTGACAGCAGCTCATTGCCTCGCCATAGATGGAATCGCACGGCCTCGCGATCGGAAAGACTTCCGGGTTTATCTGGGGAAACACTATCGAAATGACTCCCAGGATGATGGATTGGTGCAAAAGAGAGAGGTCTCCACTTATTTATTTTATTGTTTTTGTATTAATGTGCAATGTGTGTACTTCTGTGACGTGTCTATATGGTCTCTTTTCAGGTGTCTACGGTCATCCTTCATGAAGGCTTTAACAGGTATAACTACGACTCAGACATTGCCTTGCTGCAACTAACCGAGCCGGTAGAGTTTACCAATAGGGTTGAGTTGATATGTCTCCCAAAACATGAACTACGTTCTCTCTCGGAAGCAAACCTGGAGGACGGAGTTCGAGGATGGGTTAGATGATTCGTTTCTGCTACACATATTCTCTCCAGTTGCGGGTTTCTCGTCAATTGTTTTTTACATGCTTAATTACAGGTGGCAAGTTGGGGGCAAAATTTCTCGAATGTACTGAGTGCTGAGTTGACGGAGATTCAAATGCCAGTTTTATCGAATCAAGCTTGTCATCGTGATACCATTTATTTCTCTGGCTCGCGTGGTGCCACGCGAACACTCAGCTGGACCTCCTTCTGTGCTGGACATCATAAGGATACTTCTTTTCAAGGTGTGTTTTTGTAAGGGGAAATGTTTCTTTCGGTGTTGCATTCTCCAAGTGCCACTCCGAACTTTTTGATCGCATCGTCACCTCGGAAGGGCATACACTTTCTTTGAAATAGTGCCTTCCATCCTAGATTCAAATTAATGATAATGCAATGGTCAAGTCACATTCCGCTGACGTCTTTTGGGATTGAATAAATAATTCAAAACGAAATCAAAAAGAACAAAGAAAAATGGCGTAGCAGTTTTTAAATTATTAAGTGACATTAACATTTTGGCGATGTAATCCATCATACAGTATTTTGCCAGAAACGTTATATATTTCCTCTGCTTCCCCCTCACGCAATTATTCAATTCAAAGATTTATTGCTTTCGGAAAATAACATGAATATGAGTAACGTTTTCGTCGCTAAAAGCACACTCCCAACATATGCATGCTGTTACAGGCATTGTTAAAAAAACATCTTTCAGGATCGCTAACAAAACTTTCTTGGTCCTAAGGAGGGGCTCTATGATTGATATATTTGCATTCGTTAAAGAGCAATGAAACTGCAATCCTACAAGGAACTGGTCGTCAGATGCAATGCACTCCTTAGTTCGATAAAATCACAAAAACAAGTGCATATACAGTAATTTGAAACGTTGAGGTAATAGTGTTGGGCATACTAGGTCATATAGTAGAGATCCCAGGCCCGCTTTTGGGAATGAGAATCACAGAAAATACGAGGGTAAGTCAGGAAATAAGGTTCGCGTCCATCTATCAGCAGGTCTTCAATAAACTGATCAACTATTATGACAAATGTCTCAATAAATCGGGCGAATACGTGGGTCAATAAGAAAACGTGTGGGGAGATTTCCTGTATATTGTCTTCGATGTAATTACCTGCCCTCTGAAGAAATTAAATAGGGAACCTTACTTTCTGACTTACGCATCGTAATTTCTCTAAGAAGTTATCAATTCATGATGTCTATATCGATGAAATTGACTATATTTGTCGTGTAGATTTCCAAGTCGCGTGTTCCGGGGATTCAGGAAGTCCCATTGTCTTCTATACTCATGCCTTGAAGCGCTGGCAGATGGAAGGAATCGTGAGTCATTTCTTCACCAATGAGCCTTGTTCCAAGAGAATCCCAGGCCAATATACCATTTTCACCAAAGTCAATCAGTCAGTTCAAAATTCATCCTCAAGGTTCAATGTCACTTCTTTGGAAACCATTTATTCTCAGCAACTTCGACTGGAAACTTCTTTGGCTTTCGAGACATTGGGTTAAGAAATATTTTAATTATTTAATATACTCCAGGAAATGTCCAGTCGAAAGAGCGTCCTGATGGATGAATTAATGTGGAATATGGCAGATTCAACTATACATTATCGCGAAATTGTCCGCATAGCAAATCAAACTGCAATAAAGCCATCACACGGAAGTGTCAACTGTCAACTTAAGTCGATGAATTTTCCAGGCAGTAGTTAATTGCCTGACAAAGATGTGACATGGAACAATTCTCTGGTATTTTCCATCCCATTATCTGATCCACATTATTCCTCGCGATCCAAAATTTAACCTCACGTGAACTTTTTCCATTCCACTCCTTGAGGTTTGTCGATTGGATCCAAACGAAAATTGAGGATACACTAACACACCCTGAACATATAGTGCCAACATCAACAACTACAAGAACTCGACTTGTAACAACAAGATTCGAATGCAGACCAGGAAGCTTAGATCCAAGATGTCCACGGCCAACGAATACCACTACTCCCCAGACGACTACAACCCAATTCTTCTGCAAACCAGGGAGCTTAGATCCAAGATGTCCACCAGACTGTTCCAGTTTCCCGAATGATCCAAGATGTCCAAGGCCAACAACTACCACTACTCCCCAGCCGACCACAACCCAATTCGTCTGCAGACCAGGGAGCTTAGATCCAAGATGTCCACCAGACTGTTTCAATTTCCCGAATGATCCGAGGTGTCCAAGGCCAACAACTACCACTACTCCCCAGCCGACCACAACCCAATTCTTCTGCAGACCAGGGAGCTTAGATCCAAGATGTCCACCAGACTGTTTCAATTTCCCAAATGATCCGAGGTGTCCAAGGCCAACAACTACCACTACTCCCCAGCCGACCACAACCCAATTCGTCTGCAGACCAGGGAGCTTAGATCCAAGATGTCCACCAGACTGTTTCAATTTCCCAAATGATCCGAGGTGTCCAAGGCCAACAACTACCACTACTCCCCAGCCGACCACAACCCAATTCGTCTGCAGACCAGGGAGCTTAGATCCAAGATGTCCACCAGACTGTTTCAATTTCCCAAATGATCCGAGGTGTCCAAGGCCAACAACTACCACTACTCCCCAGCCGACCACAACCCAATTCGTCTGCAGACCAGGGAGCTTAGATCCAAGATGTCCACCAGACTGTTTCAATTTCCCAAATGATCCGAGGTGTCCAAGGCCAACAACTACCACTACTCCCCAGCCGACCACAACCCAATTCTTCTGCAGACCAGGGAGCTTAGATCCAAGATGTCCACCAGACTGTTTCAATTTCCCAAATGATCCGAGATGTCCACGGCAAAAGACACCCACTACTCCCAAGCCGAATACAACCCAATTCGTCTGCAGACCAGGGATCTTAGATCCAAGATGTCCACCAGAATGTTTCAATTTCCCAAATGATCCGAGGTGTCCAAGGCCAACAACTACCACTACTCCCCAGCCGACCACAACCCAATTCGTCTGCAGACCAGGGAGCTTAGATCCAAGATGTCCACCAGACTGTTTCAATTTCCCGAATGATCCGAGGTGTCCAAGGCCAACAACTACCACTACTCCCCAGCCGACCACAACCCAATTCTTCTGCAGACCAGGGAGCTTAGATCCAAGATGTCCACCAGACTGTTTCAATTTCCCAAATGATCCGAGATGTCCACGGCAAAAGACACCCACTACTCCCAAGCCGAATACAACCCTATTCGTCTGCAGACCAGGGAGCTTAGATCCAAGATGTCCACCAGACTGTTTCAATTTCCCAAATGATCCGAGGTGTCCAAGGCCAACAACTACCACTACTCCCCAGCCGACCACAACCCAATTCGTCTGCAGACCAGGGAGCTTAGATCCAAGATGTCCACCAGACTGTTTCAATTTCCCAAATGATCCGAGGTGTCCAAGGCCAACAACTACCACTACTCCCCAGCCGACCACAACCCAATTCGTCTGCAGACCAGGGAGCTTAGATCCAAGATGTCCACCAGACTGTTTCAATTTCCCAAATGATCCGAGGTGTCCAAGGCCAACAACTACCACTACTCCCCAGCCGACCACAACCCAATTCGTCTGCAGACCAGGGAGCTTAGATCCAAGATGTCCACCAGACTGTTTCAATTTCCCAAATGATCCGAGGTGTCCAAGGCCAACAACTACCACTACTCCCCAGCCGACCACAACCCAATTCGTCTGCAGACCAGGGAGCTTAGATCCAAGATGTCCACCAGACTGTTTCAATTTCCCAAATGATCCGAGGTGTCCAAGGCCAACAACTACCACTACTCCCCAGCCGACCACAACCCAATTCTTCTGCAGACCAGGGAGCTTAGATCCAAGATGTCCACCAGACTGTTTCAATTTCCCAAATGATCCGAGGTGTCAAAGGCCAACAACTACCACTACTCCCCAGCCGACCACAACCCAATTCGTCTGCAGACCAGGGAGCTTACTTCGAAGATGTCCACCAGACTGTTTCAATTTCCCGAATGATCCGAGATGTCCAAGGCCAACAACTACCACTACTCCCCAGCCGACAACAAACCGATTTAGACAACTAATTGGAATGAGAAGACCAGACTGTTTCAATTTCCCAAATGATCCGAGGTGTCCGAGGCCAACAACTACCACTACTCCCCAGCCGACAACAAACCGATTTAGACAACTAATTAGAATGAGAAGACCCGGACCACGACCCAATTTGCCTGCTTACTTCGAAGATGTCGACTTCAAAAGACTCCCAATACTCCCAGGCTGACTACAGCCCCATTCTCTATAAGAGATTATTTACGAATTGGAATGAGAACCAACCAACCACGACTCTCCAGCCAACTACAACCCAATTCGTCTGCAGACCAGGGAGGTTAGATCCAAGATGTCCACCAGACTGTTTCAATTTCCCAAATGATCCAAGGTGTCCAAGGCCAACAACTACCACTACTCCCCAGCCGACCACAACCCAATTCGTCTGCAGACCAGGGAGCTTACTTCGAAGATGTCCACCAGACTGTTTCAATTTCCCAAATGATCCGAGGT